ATATTTTTACATTTCGTATACTTTGCAGTACTAGTACAAGTGCCAAACGGATACTTACACTTGTATTACTAAAAAGGGCTATCTATCTTGAGCCAGAATCGAGCCTTGCAGACGGACATCCAAGTCTACGGTACAAATCTATAGTGAGGCCTAACAGCGGTGCATGAGCGGAGATAGCGGGTGTCGGGGGCTGTGACGGGGCCTTCCCACAGCCCCTGCCGGGAGTGTGACTACAGCTCCCCCCCGGTCTTATCAATACTCCCCGATCAATGGTGCTTAGACCTCATCACTTTAATGCGGGGAGCGGGTCTGATGAGTGCACGCCGAGGTAAGCAGGTACCCCAGTCACGAACAACGCATCCGGAGTAATCTATCAAAGGCCGGGTTTGGTCAGGTTTGATTTAAAGGCTCAATATCACGCTATTTTCTGATCTGTTATGATGTTTGTTTCCTCATCATAAACAGACCTGGAGTTGTGTTTTGTTTTGTTAATACCACACAAATCCTGCATAATTAGGCTGAGTTATGTGTTTTTAAACTCCAAACACTTTCACTAGAAACATTTGGATTATTTCACTCCTGGAATTGCCAATTTCTACTAAACAAAACGTATCTGGTAACTTGAAAACTACTCCTTCATGACGTCACAAGGTGGTACAGAGCATTTTGAGCATTTGGAGACGTAGAAAGACTAACAACAAAGAGTTACTCAAACATGTGAATGAAACAAAACAGAACTCCAGGTATGTTTTTGACTTTACTGAATGTTTCACAGTACGGCATTAAAATCTTGCAATTATTCAGTTACAGCTTTTTTTTCTTGTTGTGTGGGCTCGCCTCTCCACAGATCTGACCTGTGGTTTGGCCTGGTAGGGTCAACTGCTTGTCTCCATGGAGATAGTTTAATGCCATACTGCAGAACATTTCAGGCAATAATCTGCACATTTAGGGGATTTTTAGTAGTATGTTGAGCATCACGTTAGGACAATTATTTAACACTTGTCCTGGTTTGGTCCTGATCTGGTTCAGGTTTAGTTCCGGGACAGTTTACAAATAATTAGGGGTGTGCAAAAATACTGAAATGCCGATATATTGTATCGTTTAATGTGATGATACAGTATCGATATCGCGGGCTGCTGTATCGATATATCCCCAAGAGTATTTTTTGGTTTATTTTACTTGCTACTGTTTCGTTGCTTGTTTAGAGGAAGGAAACTTGTTTATTTTCACAGTTTTTATTATTAAAATGTTTGTGTTTCATGTGAACTTTGCACAAGAAGTGGTTTAACAAAGATTTTTAGTATCACAGACATGATTTAACCTTTATTTTTTACTGAACTGTATTAAATCGATTTGAAATATATCGTATCGAACCAAAACTGCATTGTATCGAGATATGCATCATACCGTGGTCTATGTATCGAGGTATGTATCGTATTGGCAATGTCCAGCCTTACTAATAATTAGAGTAAAAGCATTTTTATTCATGTCGTTTTCTGGACAGAAACTATTTTAGAAGATATTGCACTAGTTGATATACATACAGGTTACAGCACGTTTTAAAATGCATCTGACCATTTAACATTTACCAATTACCATTTTCCAGGTCCAATTATCAACTAAAACAATAATGATTCAAATACATTTTGTACTTTATAATCTACTGAGCTGAACTGATAATCATTTGAACTATGGCACTTTCCAGTTTCATTTCATTTTTTATATTTATATTTATTTTCACTTTCACTTTCACTTTTATTTTTATTTATTTTTTGTTCAGGTTTTTAAAAGGCATCAAAAAAGCCAAGCTACCAAGATATAACAGTGACTCTTGTCTGCACTTGTAAATAGTTCATATAGTTTAATTCAAAATGTCTGAAAAACTCTAAATAAGCTCATTGTGTTAGATTATGAAGAGTAGGGGTGGGATTAAATACGTTTTCTTCTTCCCACTCCTTTTTGGGCACAATAGTAATAATAATAGTTATTAGTAGTTGTTGTTATTTTCATTTATGATTTCACTTATGTCATATGTTCCATTGTAAATACATGTAAATCTTTACTTGCCCAAAATAAAAATGCATTAAAAAAAAAAAAAAGCTGTTTTCTGATTGGCCGGGACTTCATACAATTGCTTTAATGTCTATAGCTTAATCTTAATGTGATTGTTGAGCTCCTTGTGAGGGCATCTGAAGTCACTGGGGATCACTGCGGCTCACAATAACAGTTTGTATAGAATATAAAACGGCACAAATGCACCTCTGATAAGACATCTCCACAGCAGCGAGCGACTGTGAGCTGCTGAGACGGTCCCCGGTGTGATCTGGCATTAATTTATCACCAAAGACTCATTTAAAACAGTCCCACCAGAGCTATTTCAATGTTAATCAAGTCAGTCCCATGAAACCACATTCATTTACAATCCGCACCACAAACAGCATCTGCAGTCGGAGCGCGTTCGCTTACCTTTGGTGGCCACTCGCACGCAGTCGATTTTGGTCTCCTGTAACAACAGAGCAAGACAAAAGAATGAGAAATGTACCCAATACTGCCATTCTAAAAAAACAAAATGAAGTTTATTGATATGATATTCTCTAAGGTTGACAAAAGTATAGAAAATTAGATGGTAGTCGACACTAAAACTATAAAAGTGTTGAATCTAGATACTCATTTGCGCAGCTATTGACACTAAAAAAGTCACATTCACAGGACAAAAATGAACCTTTCCTGAACAGTTTTAGCGTGATCTTTACTACATTTTCTTCACGAATACTTCAAACTCAAACTCAGCTGATATGGATTCATTATTTATTTTTTTAGGGATGTAACAATAACCAAAATATCGTGATATTGCAACGTCAAAAATCTCGCAATAATATCATGGGCTGTCACAATAAATAACAAACTGCGAGTTCCTTTGCTTGAATGCATTGTTTTAAAGAAGCAACACTTAATAAACAAACTAACTACATATCCCATGATTCATTTCAGCCCAGACAACATGAAGAAATATGTTTATGACAGGAACGATTCGCACCAAAGTCTTGTCAAGGTATTTTAAAAGCAGTAAGTGTGACCCACAGGTTCGCAGCGCAATTCAAGCTCCCACTGAAGAATGCTGCTGTTGTGTCCTTGGGCAAGACACTTAACTGGTACGCTGGTGTATGAATTTGTGTGTGAATGGGTGAGTGGTTTGTCAATGTAAAGAGCTTAGAGTGTCTTGAAGGTGGAAAAGCATTATATAAAAATGTGACCGTCACCATTTGGCCTGCTGCTGTGGCTGATACTCGATATTTGCCAATACCGTTTGTTTTTTTTTTCATTTAAAATCCAAAGGGAGGCACACAAATGCATCTTAAGTTTAAGTAACGATCACAGATAAACTTTTGGCTTTTCTAAAAATAATGTGTATGTATGTATTGTAGTGGAATATAAAATAATTGATCATGTGTTTGTGTAAAAATTAGTTATACTCATTAGTCAAAATGCGTTTTGACTCATTGGTCTGTTCATTTCATTGAATATCGGCATCAACTTGGTATTGATACTGGCCGATACTGATACTGTTGCCGATTCAGAAGTTGCCAGTGATACATAACTCGAGACACAGGCCACGATACAGATCTCGATACAGTGAGCTTACGATTCAATACGATATATTTCACTTCGATTCGATAGGGTTCAATAAAAAATACAGGCTAAATCATGACCGTGATACTTAAAGTCTTTGTTAAACCACTTCTTGTGCAAAGTTCATATGAAACACAAACATTTTAATCATCTAAACAGTGAAAATGTCAAATGTGTCGCATAAACGAGTTTCCTTCCTTTGAACAAGCAACAAAACTGTAGCTGTAACAAAATAATTTAGTAAAATAAACCAAAAAATACTCTTGAAGATATATAGATACAGTAGCCCATGATATCGATACTGTATCATCACATTAAACGATACGATATATCAATATTTCAATATTTTTGCACACCCCTAGTTTCCGATATATCATCCATCCTTACTTCAAAATGTGTTATTGTGACAGGCTTAGTGCTTGTTCAAACCAATTTCTACTATTTTCAATAAAAGTTTTAGTATCAATTCATGTCTGCATCTGTTTTGTTCACAACTCTAACTACAGTGTCATGTTTTTTTACCGTTTTTGCATTTCACTTTGATGGATCTCTTAACCACACAAGCACCACAATAGTTTACTTTACACCCCCTCTCCTCTCTCCTCTCTCCTCTGTCTCCGTCTCTCCCTTAACAGCGTGTCCAGCCGCACTCATCCCCCCATCATCTGCGGCCAGTGAACGAGACGCCGAAAACACACAGCGAGGAGGAAGAGGAGCAAGAAGAGGAGGGGGGCCGGCGCAGTTTAGTGAAGCTGAAGCTGTGATTTGTCAGCCAACTCCTCTCCCCAGCGCAGAAAGCCCTTCCCAGCATGCCCTGAATGTGGAATGGAGGTTTGGACTCAGACACCAAGCAGGAGTACTGTTAGCGAAGGCGCGTTTTTGATCCGTAATGGTCCGATGGGCAGAGGGCGGGGACGGGGGGCAGTGGGGGGAGGTGATGAGGAAGCTACATGAGAAGACGTTGTGTTGTGTTAGCACAAACAGACAAAGAGAAAGCTGGCGGTGTAAAAGAAAGGGCTGGTTAAATGAAAGCTGTCGTGTCCACAACTTATTCTAGGTGAGAAAGTTTGAATGATCAATGACATGTCTGCTGTTCAAATGGCTTGGTGGTATAGGATTTTTAGTTTTTTAATTAAAGGGCCCATCTTATGCTATTTTCTAATCTGTGTTACAATGTTGTTTCAAACAAAACAAACCCGAGTCATGTTTTGTTTTCATTCACACACAGATCCTGCATATTTAGTCTGAGTTCTTCTCTTCAAACCAAAAACACTCAGTTCCACATTGTGATGTCCATCCATCCATCTATTCATCCATATTCTTCCGCTTATCTGAGGCTGGGTTGCAGGGGCAGCAGTCTAAGCAGGGACTCCCAGACTTCCATCACACCAGACACTTCCTCCAGCTCCTCCGGGGGGACCCCAAAGCATTCCCAGGCCAGCCGAGAGACATAGACCCTCCAGTGTGTCCTGCGTTTTTCCTGGGGTCTACTTCCTGTGGGACATGCCCAGAACACCTCCCGCAGGAAGCGTCCAGACGGCATCCAGGAACAGATGCCCGAGCCACCTCAGCTGGCTCCTCTCGACGTGGAGGAGCAGCGGCTCTACTCCTCCTCCTGTGTGACTGAGCTCCTCACCCTATCTCTAAGGGAGCACCCAGCCACAATGCGGAGGAAACTCATTTTCACCGCTTGTATCCGCGATCTCATCCTTTCGGTCATTACCCAAAGCTCATGATCATAGGTGAGGGAAGAAACGAAGACTGAGTGGTAAATCGAGAGCTTTGTGATGTCATGTGATAATAGTCTAGTCTACCTCCATCACGCTACGTACACGTCCAGATCACAACCTGTGGTGGAAAAAGTACTGAATTTTCCGCTACCACTACAGAAGTAAACTAGAAAAGCACTCAGAGAGCGCAGACCTCCGCCAAGGACTACCCCCATTTTTTATATAAATTGCGATAAAATCAGTCTTCTGGATCAGATCCGGATCAGCCTTTGGAATATGAAAGAGGATCCCATTGTCCATCCCTGAGTCAAATTTCATGGGGTTTGGTCAATAATTAACCGAGATATTGAGAAACAAAATTTTTGGCCCCATTTACCACAATGTTAACTAAAATTTCAAAGTGATCCAGAATCCAGGATTTCTTCCGGATCACCCCCAAAATGAAATCAGTTCTTCCTTTTCACATTTCCAACAAATCCTGAAAATTTCATCAAAATCGGTCCATAACTTTTTGAGTTATGTTGCTAACAGACAAACAAACAAACAAACAAACAAACAAACAGACAAACGCCGGCAAAAACATAACCTCCTTGGCAGAGGTAATAAAAATACTCAAGTAAAAATCATATGAAAAAATCTACTTCAATAAAAGTATTAAAGTACACGTTTAAAAAAGCCTTTTCAGCAAGTCTCAAACAGTAAGTCCTGTTCAGAAATGTAGTGGAGCAGAAAGTAGATACCTTCTCTAAAATAGTATCCTTTAAAATGTACATAAAGGTGCACTATCTAACTTTGGTTAGGGTTATGTCACCTGCTTGTCTCTGCCTGGAATGTTCCGCAGTATGGCATTAAACAGCTCTACGTTAAATCTTGAATTACAGGTGGTTTTATAGCTCAAACCTAGAAAAACAAGCATTCTGACTGTGTGCGGGGTTACATAACTCGGTCTGGTTTGGTCTCTTTGAAGATAGAAAGTTTTGTGAAACATTCCAAAGCAATAACATGTCCATGAAGAAAAGCGTTTGACAGATCCTCGACTAGAAAAGTTACACAATGCACCTTTAAGAGCAGCACTTTGTTACGTTCCACCACTGGTCACAACTCGTCAAACGAATTAACCAACTTTTGATTCATTTCAGTTCCGAGCCGCGCCTCACTGCATTTCGTTTCTCCAACACCATTTACAAAGCCGTCAGCAATATCGAAACATTACAAATATCACGTTCGACCTTTATGATCGCGCTTTTTGAGTTACCTTTTGAGCCTCCCATTACCAAATCCACCCACTCCACTTCCACTCTGAGCCCACGTAGGAGAAAAACAACATCGAAAAGTCCCGACGAACCAAATAAAAAGAAAAGAGCGAGAGAGAGAAAAAAAAAAGAATTAGCATGCACATTAGCGCCGTCGCGTCCCTCAAGCTGTCAGATGGATCTTTTGTTAAAAGCTACGCGGCGTATATTCGGTTTTGATTTTTGAAAAGGCTTCTGGGTAAATTTAGGTATGGATGGCATTCACCTGTTGTAACTCCTGAGTTGTTTAAGAGCCCCAAAACACAACAGAGACGGCATAATGAGACGCTAATTACGCCTTGACGCATGACCTATCCACAGTGATGTCTTAATGAAAGAGGCCATTTTGACTCGAAATATAAAAATAATATCAGATCTTTTATGTAGCGTCAACTCCTTTCTCCGGCTACCTTCTTTCTTTCATTTGTTTTATATGCCACGGAGAAGCGCTTCTAGCTAATTTGCCGTGTTAAGTTTCCCACAATGCAATGCCCGGGTCTCTTGTGCAAACGTGCTAATTGGGCCGGATCCAGGCTCACGTATTGTTCGGAGACGCGCCGGTGTTTTCCAATGAAGGTCTTCGATAGTGATTTTCATTCAGGGCCACAATTGAAATAGACTCTCCAAGATTCTATTGAGTTGTGCTGTGAGACTGGAAAAGCAGGTAGGGTTACTTGAGTTAAAAGTTCTGTATTTTTTTTTTTATACTAATACTACTACTACTACTACTACTTATAACTGTTATTGCTAGCACTAATACTTTTCATATTTTACTAATGCTTTTCATATTTTTTTTTTTTACTTTACTTTTTGAACCAAGCTGTTTGTATATTGCATTTTGTTTCATTCTACTACTACTACTACAACTACTACAACAACTAGTACAATTACTACACCCACTACGACAACAACTACATCAACTACTACAACATCTACAATGACCACAACTACTATTACTAATACAACTACGAGAACAACTACTACAAAATCTACTACCTCAACTACTACAACAACTACTACTACAACTACTACAACTACTACAACTACTACAACTACTACTACTACTACTACTACTACTCTACTACTACAACTACAACATCTACAACAACTACTACTACAAACTACTACTACTACTACTACTACACTACTACATCTACTACTACTACACAACTACTAAACTACTACAACTACTACAACATCTACAACATCTACAACTACTACAACTACTACTAACTACTACTACTACTACTACTACTACTACTACTACTACTACTACAACAACTACAACATCTACTACTACTACTACTACTACTACTACTACTACTACAACAACATCTACAACTACTACTACTACTACTACTACATCTACTACTACAACTACTACTACTACTACTACTACTACTACTACACTACTACTACAACTACTACTACTACTACTACTACAACTACTACTACTACTACTACTACTACAACATCTACAACTACTACTACACTACTACATCTACTACAACAACTACTACAACTACTACTACTACTACAACACTACTACTACTACTACTACTACTACACTACTACAACAACTACTACTAACTACTACTACAACATACTACAACTACTACAACTACAACAAACTACTACAACTACTACAACATCTACAACTACTACTACTACATCATTTACTACAACAACTACTAAAACACCTACTACAACTACAACTACTACAACAATATTTACAGCTACTACTGCAACTACTACAACAAGTACTACTACAACATCTACAACTACTACTACAACAGTATTTACAACTACTAACAACAATTACAACATCTACTACAACTACAACTACTACAACATCTACAGCAACTACTACAACTACAACTACTACAACTACTACAACTACTACTAACTACTACAACTACAACTACTACTGCTACCAGTTATACTTTTCATATTTAACTTTTGAACCAAACTGTTTGTTTATTGCATTTTGTTTCATTCCTACATATTCATATCACTAAGCCTCATTTGAGACTATAAATTCCCAGTAAGAATAATGTACTTTTATTTTTAAAAGATGAACTATGTCACTTTTCTGATGGGGTGACACTACCACCTGCTCGTCTTTATGGGCAGTATTGTTCCAAGAAATTACTCGAGTAAGAGTAAAAACGTATTTGAGAAAACAACTACCGGTACTCCTGTAAGAGCAAGCAGAAAGAGTATCATCTGATTTATAATTTAATGTTAATAGGTTCATGTAATTTGAAGAATGTCATTGCATCTAGTGTTGTCACGATACTAACATTTCAAACTCGATTTCAATACTAAGGAATTAGTCTCGATACTCAATACAGATTCTGTTACTATGATGATAGTTAAAAAAAAAAAAAACACTTACATTTTCTACATTAAATCTTTTATTTTATTATTTTTTTTATATTACCATGTATTACCTTATATTTGTGTAAACCCTCAGTGGTCCAGGTAGGTTCCACAATGGTCGATGGCCGTATATTAATCTGTGTGCTTTAATACTTCTTCAAGATCATTCTAAATCTATTCAGGAAAGGTTCATTTCTGTCCTGTGAATGTGATTTTTTAGCACCGACACCTGCTCAAATGAGTATTTAGTTTCGATTCTAGTTTCAGTATCGACTAGTATCAGATTCTCCATACTTCTGGCAGCTCTGTTCCCACCACAAATGATTAAAAATGTTACATATATAAACAATAACAGTAGGGGGTGCTTATTGTACAAACACAAGCTGGAAAAGCACCAGTCACATCTGATGCAAAGTCAAATGTAATTTCGCGTGCACTGTGCCTCGAGTTCATTAGATTACGCTCACTGAATAGCCATTCCCTCAACTATGCTAATTTAATTATCCAAGACTGTGACACCGTATTGTGTACTTATTAGCGCTGCACACTGCACAACAAGACAAGCTGTCAAACTCCAAATGTCAACTCCATCCAACATGTCCAAAGAGCCGGATGACGCGCTACCATGTTTGTCCCAGTAACACTGCAGATGGGACATTGTACTGCAGACGTCAGTGGTAAAAATACACTCGTGAAAAATATTGAAGATGAGAGCAATGGGGTGTTTTGTGTGGACTGTCACTTGGATGTTCGCAGCAGATATCACACAGGTGCATTGTGGAACTTTTCTGGTGAAGTGTCCGCCACCTGCTTGCGTCTATATACTTAAAGGCCCATATTACGCTATTTTCTGATCTGTTTTTTATCTTTTAAACTATTTGAACAAGTTATGCACGCTTTTATTTCATCACGCCTGGACGACTGTAATGCACTTTATTCCGGCGTTTCGCAAAACGCACTTTACCGACTACAGGTTAGTCCAAAACTCTGCAGCGCGACTTTTAACAGGAGCAAAAAGGAGAGAGCACATAACCCCAATCCTTGCGTCTTTGCACTGGCTCCCTGTTAATTTAGAATTGATTTTAAGATTTTATTGTTTGTTTTTAAAGCTTTGAATGGACTGGCTCCACAGTACCTCATCCAAATTTATACCCCTGCGCGTGTTCTGAGGTCCGAGGTCCGGCTCCAGCTCAGGGTGCCTCAGACGAGACTTAAAACCAGAGGGGACAGGGCTTTCTCTGTGGTCGGCCCTAAACTCTGGAACGATCTGCCGCTTCACGTTCGAGCAGCTCCACAGCGGAGAGTTTTAAATCTCGTCTGAAGACCCACTTTTATTCTCTGGCTTTTAACACCGCGTGAGTTGTGTGGTCCTCTGTGTCTTTTTTTTATTTTTATTGTGTTTTTATTGGTTTTACTGATTTAATTTATTTATTGGTTTATTTATTTCTATTCTATGATATAGTTTTATTTTTATTTTACTGGTTTTACTGATAGTATTTTTTAGTAGTTTATTTTACTAGTTTTATTTTTTATGTATTTGTGCAGCACTTTGGAAACAGTTTGTTTGTGAAATGTGCTATATAAATAAAGTGGATTGGATTGGTTATCATGTTTTTTCTTCACAAACATACCCGGATTTGTGTTTTGTGTCTTTTTAAACTCCATAGATCCTCACTAGAATAATTTTGATTATTTCAGCCCTGGAGTATCCCCATCTCTACTGAACAAAAAGTAAAACTTGAAAACTACCACTGCATGACTCAAACGTGTGTGAATGAAACAAAACACATCTCCAGGTATGTTTTTGAGGAGGTAGCAACATTCTTTTGCATAATATAAAACCGTAAAAGAGGGAGTAATTTATTTCTTTGGGGTATTAACTGCCTACACATCACATATTTAGATCCCCATGTTACATTTTATTGTTTTGTAATTTGTATATTCACCAAAAAAATTTATTATCACAAGGGTTGTCAAATAGGGTGAATGTGAGCCTCCCCTTAGAGTAGGTAAAGACAGGTTTAGTCCTGGTTTAGTCCTGGTTTAGACTGGTGTTTTTAGACCTGGTTTAGTCCTGATTTTAGTCCTGGTTTTTAGTCCTGGTTTAGACCTGGTTTTAGTCCTGATTTTAGTCCTGGTTTAGTCCTGGTTTTAGTCCTCGCTTAGACCTGGTTTAACCTTGGTTTAGACCTGGTTTTAGTCCTGATTTTAGTCCTGGTTTAGACCTGGTTTTAGTCCTGATATTAGTCCTGGTTTAGTGCTGGTGTAGTCCTGGTTTAGACCTGGTTTTAGTCCTGATTTTAGTCCTGATTTAGTCCTGGTTTAGTCCTGGTTTTAGTCCTGATTTTAGTCCTGGTTTAGACCTGGTTTTAGTCCTGGTTTTAGTCCTCTGATTTTAGTCCTGGTTTAGACCTGGTTTTAGTCCTGGTTTTAGTCCTGATATTAGTCCTGGTTTAGTGCTGGTGTAGTCCTGGTTTAGACCTGGTTTTAGTCCTGATTTTAGTTCCTGGTTAGACCTTGGTTTTAGCCTGATTTTAGTCCTGGTTTAGACCTGGTTTTAGTCCTGATTTTAGTCCTGGTTTAGTCCTGGTTTAGTCCTGGTTTTAGTCCTGATTTTAGTCCTAGTTTAGACCTGGTTTTAGTCCTGATATTAGTCCTGATTTAGTGCTTTTGTAGACCTGGTTTAGACCTGGTTTTAGTCCTGATTTTAGTCCTGGTTTAGACTTGATTTAGACCTGAATTTAAACTTGATTTTAGTCCTACTTTAGTGCTGGCTTAGGCCTGGTTTAGACTTGGTTTAGACCTGGTTTTAGTCCTGATTTTAAATTTTAGAGGCCCGTGTTATGCATGGGAGGAAGTGCGGTCCACGCGGTGTATACAAGGTAAAAAAAAAAAAAGGTGACACTCCAAACTATAAGCAGGTGTCAGAACGGCAACATAATTTTACAGCTAATACACACATATACATTTACTGATATCAATACTGCTGCTGGTGTGTACAGATTTTTTTGTACGTGTGTCCTACCTCCCCAGTGGCTCTTTGTCCACTATTGAAAACCTCTGTATTAACATGTTGAATCGGTTTCATTTTCGTTTTTGAGTGTAATCACTGTCTGTACAATTAGCCAATTTCTCCACCAGAAAAGTTACACAGTGCATTTTAAATTTTTGTTACTATTAAAAGCGCCTTACCCCGTTGGCGGTGCTGACGGCCTGGTAGTAGATGCTGTAGCTCTTCTGGGGCAGTAGCGGGGCGTTCCAGTACCCGTTGTAGGTTTTGTTGTCCCCCACGGTGAAGGGCTGAGGCGCGTGGATGCCCCCTGCTGGGAACTGGGCCGTGAAATAGTACTGCGAGTTGAGCGCAGTGGCGTTCTGGAAGTGGATGGGCACCGGGTAACAGCGCAGTATCTCCGCTGTGCCACGAGCTCGGCGGGGGCGCTCTTCCTCCACCACCACCTGATAAGCACTGTGGAGACAAGGGAGAAGAAGTGTTATCGTATTTTTCTGACTTTAAGTCTCACTTTTTTCATGGTTTGGGTGTTTCCTGCGACTTATACTCCAGTGTGTGTTATATATAAAATTTCGAGAGGGCACTCTAGTCTTGTGCGTCAGTATCTGCTGCTCCTATTAATCCTGTACCACTGTCACTTCCCTCTACTGTGCATGTCTCCTGCAGAAAGAGCCACTGTCCTGTCTGTCTCATGTCAGTCAATCGCTCCATTACTTCTGTACCAATGAAAATTTAAAATTTAAGTGACTTCAGTGACACCGAAACCATCCTGTCGGGATTCAGAAAGGACAGAATAATTCTAACTGAAACTGATGCTGAGTCTGACGACAGCTACACAGAAGAGGAAGCGGCGCTCTGTTTACCTCTGGAGGTTGCAGTGTTGCTCACAAGTGACACCGAGGATGAAGAATTCAATGGATTTAGTGATTTGGAGTGAGACCGAGAGTTCGGTAAACTTGTGTTATGTTTTTTATCCTTTAGTTATCTGAATAATGTTACGTTAACAGTCTGTTGTTCCCTGTTCTGTTGTTATTACTATAGCTTTCCTTTCAAGATGAAATGTTGGTTCTTGGTCTCTAATTTTTTAGAATAAATTTCCCCCAAAAAGTGTGATTATATATGTTTTTTTTGTTCTTCATTATGCATCTTTTGGCTGTTGCAACTTATAATCCGAAAAATACAATACATCTATATACTTATAAATTAGGGATGCACTGATGCCAACACTGGTATCGAATATCGGTTCAGTCAGTATCCTGGTTGGGCTTTTGGACTAGTGAATAATATAGGTCTAGGACGTCTCATGATGTTTGAACTTTAATTTATACAAAGCTATTCAATAGTAATTTGCAGGATACATACTGTAAATTACATAATAAAATCACATCAAGTTTGTAATAAATGTGTTTTGAGAGGAAAAATGGAATTTGTAATCCCTACACTGCTATCGGTTAATATCGTCTTACAAGATATTTAAAACCATAGTATCGATATTGGAACTAAAAAATCTGTATAAACACTGTGATACATTGACATAAATGCTGTAATAGGTCAAACTATTTTGAAAAACGGTTTGTCCCAGAAGTTTTTTCCAAATTGTTATATTTTCTAAAGTATCCAAACATTATATTGTATTTTCTGATGAGTCAACTGAATGATATCATGACAAAACTTGACAATTAATATCAATCAGTGGAGCTCAAGAGTCCTGCCCACTTCAGTAAATGAATGCTCAATTAATATTTAACTAACTAAACCTTTATTATTACTCGTTTTATATCTCCAAAGCTCAAAATGCTCTGTTCCATCTTGTGATGTCATGAAGTGGTAGTTTTCAAGTTTTACCTTTTGTTTAGAGGAGATTGCCAAGTACAGGGCTGAAATCATCCAAATGATTCTAGTGAAGGTGTACGGAGTTTAAAAACAGATCAGAACATTGCGTAAAATGGACGGTCCCTTTAAGACACGGCCAATTCAAATTCATGGATTCACTTTAACAGCTTGCCCCGTCCCTTCATCCATTCATTCATGCATCTCATTCATTAAACAGTGAAACTTATCTGGCTGTCCTCTGTCCCCGTAGCCTCTAATGGAGCTTGCTATTCTGCACGAGGAGCCGTAAACAGAGTCTTTGTCAGAACGGCTCTCGCTGGGGCTAACAGGTGCATGTGTGCTGCATTTCAACCAACCGGGGACACAAGGCCGGCTCTGTGAGGGGAAACAGGCCGCTCAGTGTGGGCTGAACTCTGCCTCAGACTGGGGGAGGACGGGAGGAGGCGGAGGTATGGACGGAAAAGCGAATATAGGTTTTTATTTTGGTGAAGTTTATCCTTTTACTTCCCGGTTTCTTGTGACATACGTTGAGGTAATCCCGTGTTGTCACTTAGTAAGATTGTCCAAACTATCGAAAATCAGATATGAATCGATGCTAAAACTAGTAGGGATGTAACATAACCAAAATATCGTGATATCGTATCATCAAAGGTCTCACAATCATATCGTGGACCATCACAATATATCGAATTACAAGTCTCTTTGCTTAAATTAAGAGTTATGGTGCAGCAGTAACTCAAAAAAACAGAGGGAACTACATAGACCATGATCCTTTGCTCCATTTCAATGCAGACTACATGAAGAAATAACAGTTCTAAGCACTTTTAAGTCATAGTTCTTTGGATTAAGTCCAAAAGAAGCATATTAGCCTCTACAAAATGTCGCAATAAATATCGTACCATGAGGTTCATACGTGACGATATCGTATCATGAGACTTGGATATTGTTACACCCCTAAAAACTAGTATCGAAACTAGGTAACTCATTTGAAGCATCGATACAAAAAAGTCAGATATAAGGCCGCATGGTAATATAAAAGAAAGTACTATGATTTAATGTTGAAAATCACATTCTATTATTTAAAGAAAGAGTGTTTTTCATTATATTTGTGGTATGGGAATTGGTATTAACTATCAAGTCTATTCCATAATATCAAAATCAAGTTTGACATTTTAGTATCACTATGACCCACTGAACAAAGTCTTCAAGGTCCAGTAGTTAGTTAAGTAGAACCAGAAAAAAAAAAAAACAAAAACATATCTATTTTAAAACCAATCATCTTTTTTTAAATAGGTGAACAGTTGGATTTTTCTGTAAAATGAATAAAATAAGAACGTGTGTTGGTCTTGGATTGACAGTTTCAGCAATTGCGATGTAATGAGTTCAGTATTTGGTTTAATATTGCATTTTTTAGAAACAATATGAATTTCAGATTTAGATAGGAAATTTCATAAGCACATTTGTAATTTTATTTTTTTTGTCAGTGTTAATAAAATGGTATTTCTTGAGTTTGGATGAGTGGGAGTGACTCGGTACACCATGAGCAGTGTGCTGGTGAAGTAAGAAAATATAGTCTTCAAGTGGGAAGTTAACAGATAACACAATTTCAAGGAATAGATTCAGTACTCAAAATCATTCTAAAGCTTCAGGAAACGTTCACTTCTGCCCTTTGAATGTTACTTTTTAAGTATCGATATCTACTCAAATGAGTATCTAGTTTTGGCACTAGTTTTAGGGCCTGTTTACACGAGAACACTTGTGGGTAAAAACAACAAAATATTTTATCGGAAGTGCCTTTTATTTAGACGGTGACGGCATTTTTGGAGCTTAAAAACGCAAAAAACTGAAACCATCCAGTGGAAAAGTTGAATATGCTTCGCCGTAGCGTTTCCGTCTACACTGCCCAAGATGAACAACTCAGAAAAAGCTTGTGTAAACGTGGAATAAAAAGTGAAGACACAACGCCACTTTTGCTTCTTCTGTTCAGACCGTCATCATATAAACGTAGCCTTAGTATCAAATAGTACCTGATTTCCGATACTTTTGGCAACCCTAGTTCGCAGAATAATAATTCATTTTCAAGTGTGATGCGGAGAGACATGGACCACATTTGCCTATAGGGACTTGAACCCTGGATTTGAGCTTTCCGCAGTAGACAAAGCGCTCTGCAGGTGAGTAATCATCTAAATAAATGAGTCGGTGTCAGCTGTGAGGGGAATGGGTGAGAGAGTAAATCATTGCAAAGGTTAAATACGACAACCTTTCTCGGGTGATAAATAGTCATCCACCACGGCCATGTTTCTGAACTAGTGGGTCACACAGCTTTGTATCATCACGTAATGGGGCTGCATGGCTGTACGCCTTCTCACCGGAGGGTTGCGGGATCGAATCTCGCTTGCACCGTCTTTACGCCATCTGCTTCTGTGAGAATACTGTAGGAATGGTCAGAGAAGAGAGGTTCCCTTCCAAACCTAAGGGCAATTTTAGTACATTTGTCCCCGTCTGGATTTATTTTTTCTTAAATTTGCTATTAAAACGCTCCCTTTTACCTCCTAATGAAGTGTTATACATCCTTTTTTCAGTACAACCTGTTATTTTACAATCTGCTGCTGTAGTTGTGTCATATGGCTGTAATAAAAGCTACAGGACCAGAAATACAAATAAAAAAAGGAAAATATAATTCACACGCTACAAAAGTATAAAAAATATCAAGTGTGGAAGTAAACAAAAAATATCCTTATTGCCCTCAAAACAAAACCAAAAAGTCCTATCGCCCCATGACTTTACTGGTACCAATCATGGAAAACCACATCACTTCCTGCATTTCCATGGTGTTTATTACATTTGGATTTGTACATTTGGACTGAAATAAATCTTTCAAATAAAAATAGCAAGGGATGCGCAATTATACAGACCAAGATTTGCCATTATTTGAGAAATAACTACAGTCAGAGGGGCTTTTTCAATTGTTACGAACACAGACGCTCAGAGCATCGACCATTTTGACTCACTACACTCTTTGGCAAAGTTTGGGTCAATCAAAACGAATGAAGCGCATGTGTTTGGCAGAAAACAAAGTTCTTATTGGACACTTGTTTTCCCAACGTCATCATGCAACACAGACATAGAATAATGCCTCAAATATGGTCAGAAAGTCGTAACTCTATCCTGACTCATCACCTCGCAGCATTAGGATTCGTTCGCTCGACGGTAGGCGGTTACTTTTTTTATTCAACCAATTACTTTGGTTGTGACGTATGTAATGCACCAAATCCTGTAGGAAGAAGGGCAATAACGTCTTTCCCCCCCAAATATTCTCTTTGTTCCGACTTTAAATCCTCGATCTCAGGAATCGTTGCCAACACAGAATGTACGGTTTCGTTTACATCCATCTCAACCGCTTTACTGTTGTGTTGTACCACAAAATGGACCTGCACAGGCACTTGAGTTTGATGTACTGGCTTCACAGCTCTTCGCTGATTGGTCGGTGTGCGGTCTACAACTTTTGGGGTTCTTGCAAATCGTCTAGTGTATTCCGATTCTTGACCTAGTCGCTGGAGCGAAATGACATTGAGCTGAGGCACTAGGTGATGCCAGCCTGGATAGCCTCTCTCAGCTTTTAC